CAGGCTGGGTCCAGTGATTTTGATGGGAAAAAAATAACTTCTTTATTTTCACTAACCTCCAACTGAAATTTAACTTCTTTCTATTATGAATTATAGTAATACAGTTTGTTGTCTGCTGCTGTCAAGTTGGCCCCAACTTGTTACAGAGTAGAAGTGCCCCATAGGTTTTTCTTGGCTGTAATCTTTATGGAAGCAGTTCATCAGGCCTTTCTTTTGAGTGCCGCTGGGTGGATTCAAACTGCCAACCAGGGGGTTAGCAGTTGATTGTAAACCGCTTGTGCCACCCAGGCTCCTCAGTATTACAGTAAACCAGAACCCATTGCTGTTGAGTCAATTCTGACTCATAGCAACCTAATGTGACAGAGTAGAACTGCCCCATAGAGTTTCCAAGGCTGTAATCTTTATGGAAGCAAACCACCCATCTTTCTCCCATGGAGTGGCTGGTGGGTTCTAACCACTGACCTTGTAGTTAGCAGCTGAGCGCTTAACCGCTGCACCACCAGGGCCCTTTTTAGTATTAGAATAGCATGTTACAAATGGTATTAGCAAAACCTGTGACTCTTACCAGTGGAAATTATGGATGTGTTCATATCACACTTCATCTGTTGCAGATACCTTGTGTTGTTTATGTTCATCACTATTTCAAAATTATGGCTGTTGTTATTAGACCTGCTAAGGGGATTCATGGCACACCCTCCCCCCCACCCACCCAAAAAAAGGACAAAAACAAAATATTGCATTGCGTTAATTCCAACTCATGGCGACCCCATCTATTACGAAGTAGAACTGCTCCGTAGGGTTTTCTTAGCTGTGATCTTTATGGAGGCAGATCACCAGGCCTTTTTTCCATAGTGCCACTGGGTGGGTTCACACTGCCAACTTTTAGGTTAGTAGACAAGTGCAAACTGTTTGTGCCACCTAGGGACCTTACACTGCCCTTGGTACTGAAGAAACCAGCAGGCATTCTTAGAATCAAAACCACAATCTCCACAGACAGCAATGGAAGGAAGGGGGCCCTCCTCCATGAGAGACACCCAAATTCTCACGGGCCCTCCCTTGAGGATCTTTTCTAATGACAGTATGATGTTGCAATTAAGAGTCAGGTGGCCTGGGTTCCTGTTCTGGCTGTGCTTCTTTCCAGCAAGTGACAGTTTCTCTGTGTGTCAACGTCTGCACCTTTAAAATGGGGATTATAATAGCAATACCTGTCTCAGAGCATAGTTATAAGGATTAAATGTGTTAATTGTCTATGTCAAGAACTTGGAACCCTGCCTAGCACATAGTAAGCAATCAATAAATGTTAGTTCCTATTGTTAATGGTATTATTGTTATTATCCTAATCCTCTGCTGCCACCTCATTGTCCTCGGGGCTGCTGCTCACCTCTTGTGGTCCTGGCCCAGGTGTTCATTTCCCTGTAGCCCAGCTCAGAGAAGCACACAAAGATCCAACTTCGAGATGACAGAGAAGAAATAAACAAGCAGCTTGGTCAACCTTTTCAATATTTTATTATGAACATTTTCAAACATACAGAAAATTGAAAGATGAGTACAAGGATCAGCAAAGTACAGCCTGTGAGCCAAATTCAGCCCACTGCCTGTTTCTGCGAATGAAGTTTTATTGGAACACCAGCCATGCCCGTTCGTTTACATAAACATATAGCTGCTTTTGTACTTACTATCTGGCATTTTATCTGTTTCTATAGGTCTATCTCTATATCTATCTCTATATACATTTTATTTTTTGCCTGAACCATTTTGAAAATAAGTTGCACACCTTGCAATTCTTCATCTCAGGGTCCTTTTTACCACCTGGGAGATGGGTTTTTGAACCGCCCTGAAGCCCAAAACCCCCAAAAACCAAACGAGTCAATTCCAACTCATAGCCACCCTATAGGACAGAGTAGAACTGCCCCATAGAGTTTCCAAGGCTATAATCTTTATGAAGGCAGACTGCCATATCTTTCTCCCGTGGAGCTGCTGGTGGGTATGAATCGCCGACCTTTTGGTTACCAGCCAAGTGCTTAATATGTGCAAAACCAGGGCTCCTTCCCTGAAGCCCAGGTGGTCCAAAAACCCACTGACATTGTATGAAAAATACAGTGCATGCGTTTTTCTGAGGAGAGGCCATCGTAGCATTTCCTCAGAGTCTCATCATTGCCTGTAACCCCGGAGACATTCTTAAACCACTGGACCAGGTGACCTAATTTAGAATCCCGGTCACGCCTAAGCCTCATCCCAGCTGTGTGGGCTCCAGGAAAAGAAGCTGTTAGACAGTTCCTTCCTGTTGTCTTCTCCTTCCAGGAAGAGGACTCCCACCCACCATGTGACCATCAGTCACTCACACACAAGGGCGATTCCTTCCACTCTCACACACATGATCTCATTTCATTCTGGCAGCAGCCTGGGAGCTAGGTAGGCGAGTCCCTGCCATGAAGAAACAAGAGGGCTGGGCTTCACAGCTGGCTGTAAAATCACCGCTTCTGGATTTGGATCCCAGCTCTTTCAGTGTTCATGTAGGCAGATGTCTTTACCTCTCTGAGCCTCAGTTTCCTCAGTGGTGAAATGAGGGCATTAGTTGTGCTTACCTCCCTAGGATTGAGAGGACCATATGAAGTCTTGATGCATAAATGCGTAGTAGGAAACCTGTTATGTATGTCAGCCAGTTGTGTTTGTTTCTTAGGGCTGTCGCAACAAATTACCACAAGCTTAGTGGCTTAAGACCACAGAAATTTATTCTCGCATGGTTCTGGAGGCCAGAAGCCTGAAATCAGGGTGTTGGTAGGGTTGGTTTCTTCTGGAGACTGTGAGGGAGAATCTGTTCCCTGCCTCTTTCTAGCTTCTGGTAGCTGTTGGCAGTTCTTAGCATTCCTTGGCTTGTAGACACAGCACTCCAATCTCTGCCTCCATCTTCATATGGCCTTTCCATCTGTGTGTCTGTCTTTGCCCTTTCTGCCTCTTATAAGGACAGCCATTGGATTTAGGGCCCACCCTAATTCTAGGATGATCTCATCTTCAGGTCCTTAACTTAATCACATCTGCAAAGATCTTATTTCCAAATAAGGTCATATTTACAAGTACTGGAGGTTAGGATTTAGACATACCTTTTTGGGGCCACTGTTCAGCCCTTTATATGAGTGATGTTGTTACTACCACTAATGCTGCTCCTAGGAACCGTGGTGGCACAGTGGTTAAGCACTCAGCTGTTAACTGAAAGGTCGGTTGTTCAAACCCACCAGCCACTCCACAGGAGAAAGATGTGACAGTTTGCTTCCATAAGGATTACAGCCTAGAAAACCCTGTAGAGCAGTCCTACTCTGTCTTATAGGATAGCTATGAGTCAGAATCAGCTCAGCGACACCTAACAACAGCGATTCAACCCACTACGCCAGTGGTATTATTACTACATCTAATGCTACTCCTGCTTTAATAAAATATTATTATAATAATGTTTGTTCTGTTATCACTATTAGCCAACAGTCTGTGTTTAAATCCCCACTCCATCCCTTCTTAGCTGCATGACCCTGAAAAGGGACTTTTACTCCGTGAGCCTGCTTCCCCCTCCATAAAATGGAGCTTCTACTAGCTCCAACCTCACAGGGTTATTGTGAGGGTTAAGTGAAATCAAGCTGTGAGCACTCAGCCTAGGAGGACCTTACAGAGTAAGCTCTAATGTGGCTGCTGCTATTAAAGTGTACTAGATAGCCCTGGTTGTACAGTGGTTAAGCACTTGGCTGATAACGGAAAGGCTGGCGGTTTGAACCTACCAGCTGCTGTATGGGAGAAAGATGTGGTAGTCTGCTTCTGTAAAGATTATAGCCTTGGAGACCCTATGAGGCAGTTCTACTCTGTGGTATAGGGTTGCTATGAGTTGGAATCGACGTGATGGCAACGGATTTTAGATAGTACAGGGACTAGATAATACAGGTAGTCCCTGATTTACAATGTATTTGAGTTACGATGAGCCGCACTTAAACGACTGTTCGTTTTTGTTTTTTCAGTTTTTTTGGTATATCTTATTGTTGGTAGTATTTACTGTGTACAGTGTTGCAGTGTGTAATTTGCTGATGTCATCATATCTGTAAGTTTGTATGTAATGTTTCCATCCCCCAAAGGCAAATAAAGGTTGGATTTGGAAAGACACTGATAATAAAAGGCAATAATAACGAAAAGGTTAAAAAAAATATTCAGCCAACATCAGAACCGACCTACAGTGGAGTCATTTGAACAGAGCCCCTTTGTAAGTTGGAGACTGCCTATTAAAAACCAGTTGCCATTGAGTCTGTTCCAACTCATGGCGCCCGCATGTGTGTCAGAGTAGAACTATAGGGTTTTCAGTGGCTGAATTTTTGGAAGGAAATAGATTGCCAGGTCTTTCTTAAACTGAGCCACCTCTGCGTGGATTCTGACTACCAACCTTTTTGGTTAGTAACCCAGTGTTTAACTATTTGCGCCACGCAGGGACCCCAGGTAGTGTATTAGATGCTGCTGAGTACAAGGGGGAAAGCAAAGTAGAGAAGGAGGGTGGGGAGTGGGGAAGCGGGGTACAGTTTTAGACAGAGTGGTCAGGCAAAGTGCGTCTTAGTAGATGTCAGCTTGTTAAGATCCAAAGGATGCTTTGTGCTGCTGCTGGTGGTGCCATTGTTGTTATCTGATCACTCAGGTCACGGGGTCACTTGGTAGGTGTTTGCCAAGTTACTGCGGTGAAACATGCGAGAGCCGAGACTGCCTTGTTTTTCTGGGACTGTGCAAGTTTTCCACCTTTGACAGGGTGCGGTGTTACCACTTTTTTATTGCTCTCTGTTAGTGGAAAATACTTGCCTTTTCCTTCTCTGACAGGTTTCTGCCTTACACAGTTTCCAGCTTTTGTAAGTTTTACTGTATTTAGCATCTCCACACGTGTGTAGCAAGGTTTCCAGTGGGCGACTGGGTCCAGAACTGCTGGAACTCCTGTAGTCTGGGTTTTCTAACATTCTCTCTTCTTTTTCTTATTCTCTCGTTAGCTTCGCCTCAACAGCATCAAGAAGCTGTCCACCATCGCCCTGGCCCTCGGTGTCGAAAGGACCCGCAGTGAGCTTCTGCCTTTCCTTACAGGTACGAGCTGGACTTCTGGGGTCCAGGTGGAGACAGGATTGTACATGAGGAGAGGCGCGGGGGGAGCTGGGTAGATGTAGAAAAATAAACCTTATGCGCATGCAGATTTTGTGTTGCGAGAGAGGGGCAGAGGCAGACTGTCAGGAAAGAGACAGTGACTCAGAGCAAAGACCCTGGCATCAGAGGGCCTGGGGTCAAGTCCCAGCCTCCGTGTGCTGCTTTGTTTTCCTCATCTATAAAATGGGAACAATTGTGCGATACACGAGTGTCCTTGTGAAGATTCAGTGAGTTGGTGAGTGGTGGCAGTGGGGTTAGTTGCTCTCCAGTTGACTCTGACTCATGGCAACCCCATGTGTGCAGAGTAGTACTGCTCCATAGGGTTTTCAAGGCTGTGACCCTGTGGAAGCAGATTGCCGGGCCTGTCTCCTGAGGCACCTCTGGGTGAATTCGAACTGCCAGCCTTTTGGCTAGTAGTCAAATGTTTAACCATTTGCACCTCCCAGTGTTATTTTTATTATGCTGTATAATTATGTATGATATTGATAATCCAGGAATGGGGGAGCCCCAGAGTAGTGTGGGAGCCATAAGATTGAATAGGAGATGGTTCAGAGAACGATTTCTTTGAGCTATTAGAGTCAAAAGTAATGTCAGAGTTTCTTTGCTTGGGCTTCAAGCCACTATAAAATGTTCAGAATAGCAAAGGGCAGATACACTGTGTCTTTCAGAAAAGGTAATAACTGTTTCAGGCAGAACAAGCTAAAAACCCTCTCTGAGCTCACATGTACAGAACTACAGAATGTTTCAGAATTAGTTTTATGAGGAGAGAATGACTGCATAATGTCCCCCACTGAGAAGTTACTTAGTGGTGCACACAGTTAAGTGTTCAAACCCATCCAGAGGCGCTTCAGAAGAAAGGCCTGGTGATCTGCTTATGAAAAGTCACAGCCTTGGAAACTCTGTGGAGTAGTTCTACTCTAAACACATGGAGTCACCATGAGTGAGAATCAACTCTACTGCAGCTTGTTTGGTTTTTTTGTTTTGGTCCCCCACAAGGTTAGAGAGACCAGTGTCAGAGATTTCTGGCTATAATATGTGAGACACTGTTGGTTCCAAAGTGAGTCAGGTCACTTACGTGTCTGCAGTGAGGCTGTGAAGTCGTCTGCCATTTAAAGACTCAGGAGTCTCTAGGTGGTGCAGATGGTTAAGCGCTTGGCTACTTACTAACGGCCTCTGGTTTGAATCCACCTGGAAGTGTCTCAGGAGAAAGGCCTGATGATTTGTTTCTGAAAAATCAGCCAGTGAAACCCCTATGGAGCACAGTTCTGCTCTGAAATGCACGGGGTCACCATGAGTCAGAATCGACTCGACAGCAACTGGAGTCAGGTGTAAACACAAATGAAAAGTATCCTCCGAAGTCTCAGGTTTGCCTAGCTTTGTTCTGAGACAGAGGAGAGTAGTTTGAGATCTGCCTTTAGTCACAGCTGTGGAGTTTCTTCAGGTTCAGCAAAGAGGAGAATTTCCTGTTTAAAAGATCTCAGTTTTCAAGTTAATTCACAGTTCATTTAAAAGCATTCTTTTCAGTCGGTCGTTTGAATGCGTGTTTATTCCATAACTGTCTGATGCACGGCCACTGTGTGCTTTGCATTTATCTGGAGATAGAGACCCAGTCACACAGAATTTCTGTCCCCGCGGAGCTTACATCCCAGTGAGGGGAGACAGTTTGCAGAAGCAGAGGGAGCCTGCTTTTTCCAAGCTTGGGATACTTAGGAGGTGAGTGGAGATGGGTGGGTCTGTAATGGAGTCTGTCTTGGTTCCCACAGACACTATCTACGATGAGGATGAGGTCCTCTTGGCCCTGGCAGAACAGCTGGGAACCTTCACCACTCTGGTGGGAGGCCCAGAGTACGTGCACTGCCTGCTGGTGAGTCTGGGGGTGGGGAAGGGTCATACCTGTGATCCTGCTAGCCAGGGGCAGGGAGGGGAGAATGGAGGAGAGGCTGGGCGTTGCCTTCTCAGAACAGTTGGGCCTTGGACATCCACTTTAATCCAGCGAGCCAGTCAGTAATCAGTTGCCATAGAGTCAGTTCTGACTCCTGGCAACCCCATGTGTGTTGGAGTAGAACTCTACTCCTTAGGGTTGTCAATGGCTGGTTATTCCAGAAGTAGCTCACCAGGCCTTTCTTCCCAGGTGCCTCTAGGTGGACTCAAACCTCTAACCTTTGGGTTAGCAGCTGAGTTCATTAACTGTTTTTGCCACCCAAGGACTCCAGTGAGTCACTAGAGACATTTACTGTAACAATACCAGAAGTACAGTTGGCATCTTTACCATTTGCTGGGCACCCACCTGACCAGTGCCAGGCCCCACCTGACACCCTATGTACAGAGCTTTGGATCTGAGTCAGGCTGGTCAGGCTCTATCTACCACTATTTGCTGAGTGACTTTACCTTTCTGTGCAATGCTTTCCTCATCTGTAAAATGGAGGGATTAAAATCCACCTTTACTATCGTAAAAAGCCCTTAGCACAGTGCTTGGCACAGAGTAAGCACTAACATGTTTAGCTGCTGTTCTCATTATTGTTCTTATTATGACATCATGTCTTTGAGGGTTCCCTTTTTACAGGCAAGTCGCTTGGCATTCAGGTTAAGCATCTTTCCCAAAGTCACATAGCAAGTAAGTTTGGGGTCTATTTGCCTCTACCCCAGGCCCCCACTCTGCTGCCAGTCTGTGTGTCCCTGTGCTGGGTTAAGGCTGCGGACACAGAGATGGGTCAGATCCTTGTAGTAACTGCTGATTGGGAGAAGATGGGGGGAGAGGGGCTCCCATTTCATCAGGGAAATGCTCCAGTCCTGTGAGCTGGGAAGAAATCGCCTTAGAAGTTCCCGTCTCTTGGTTTTCATTGTTCCTCAGAGCCCTAGGGCACTGCTGCTGCCTTCTGGGTTTTTCTGTTTATTTGTTTTTTAATAATTCTGTATTTCCTTATCTTTAAAGACACATTTTTATACTTTGTCATATCTGAAATCGGGTTACATCTGTACTTGATGGTGTTTTACGATTATCATCAGCAGCCTTTTTCCCGGAGGTACCTTGGAAGAAATGCCAATCATTAGTGATTTACCTCTGAAAAATCAGCCATTGAAAACCTTGTGGAGCATAGTTCTACTTGGACACACAGGGGGTCACCATGAGTCCGAATTGATAGCAACTGGTTTAGTGTTGGTTTATTTTTCCTTTAGTGGTATATAAAATAATGGTGCTTCTTATCATTGTTGGTATCTTAGATTTGAGCAAATACAGTGATTTTTTTGTTTTTTTTTTTAGTAAGTCTCAGGAAACTTGACAATTAGCATCAAATTTGGTATCTTAGCTTTCATCTGTGTGTATGTGTATGATTTGTATGTATGTACACACAGAAGGTTTTGTGTAAATGAGATCATTTCATACATTTTACACAGAACAGGGCTACTTAACATGAAAACCGTGGAGGTCTGTGGATCAGCCTGGAAAGGTTACCTTGAACTCCATGAAACTGTCATAACCCTTGGCATTTTTCACTTCTTCTGAGGAGAGAATTCATAGCTTTCAGCTAGCCTCTCCAAGGACTCAGAAGCACAGAACATCGTTAGGAACCCTGAGGCTTCAGCAAGGGGCCTCAGGGCCCACAGACAGGGTTGGGGTTTTGCTGTGGAGCTGGTACTGAAACCCAGGGCTCCTTACCCTACCAGGCAGGGTTTCTTCTCCCACAGAGCATTGACAAGGAGGGAAACCAGTCATCCCACACTTCTTTTGGAAAGCAGCTACTCATGACCTCATGGACACATTCCTGATGTCTACCCAGCAGACACATCCAAGGCCTGCTGTGGGCAGGGCACTATTGGGAACCTTGAGGGGGTCCGATCAGAACAGCTGGTGCCCAGCACCAGGAGTGTGACAGGGCCAGATCCAAGTGCCTTAAGCATATTAACGTATTGACTCCTTGGAAAAACTCTGAGAGGCAGGTACTAGTGTGTCTTAGTTTCCTGGTGCTGTTGTAACACAAATACCACAAGTGGTTGGCCTTAATGAACAGAAATTTATTTTCTCACAGTTTAGGAGGTTAAAAGTCCAAATGTGGGGCACTGGCTGGCTGTAGGTGAAGGCTCTGTTGACTCTGGGAGAAAATCCTTATCTCTTTCAGCTTCTCTAGACCCAGTTTTCCTTAGTTTCTTGGCCATCTTTAGTTGCCATCTATCTTCCCCTGTTTGTGCTTCCTTGCTTGTGTGTCTAATCTCTTTGTATCACTCAGAAGTGATTAGGTTTAGGACACACCCTAAACTGATAGGGCCTCGTTAACAAAGAAAACTCTTGTCCCAAATGAAATTACATCCATAGGTATGGGGATTAGAATTCCAGCATGTTTTGAGGGGCACACAGTTCAGTCCATAACATGGTGTTGGTCGCAGTTCACAGATTAGGAAACTGAGGCACTGGCTAGTTTAAGTGAATTGCCCGAGCCAGTAAGACATAAAGGCAAGATTTGAACCCAGGCTTCTGATTCGTAATCACTCCTCCATACTGTATTCAAGGGGCTCCTGGTTGCTACACAGGCTAATCAGAGCTGTAAAAGAGGAAATCAGAAAGGGCCCTTAGAACCCAGAGGGGGCACCTAACCTGGTTTAGATGGAATGAGGAAGTTGTCAAGAAAGGCTTCCTGGAGATGGTGGCAGTTAGCTAGGATTTCTACAAGTTATGAAAAATGGAAAGTGGCCATTGTGCAGTTTGTTCAGTCCACAAACATTGGGCAAGGACTCAGCTGTGGGAACCTGGATTCCTGCACTCATTCTCTGCAGCAATGAAATGGAATTACACGGGGACCAATGTAGCTTCAGTGCCAGGCCTGCTTATAAATCACCAGCTCTTAACCCTTTTGGGATTGTGAATCCCTTTGAGAATCTTATGAAAACTCTCATAAAAGTATGTGTAATTTTAGGAGATTCACAGCCCTTTCCCCTCACCCGTGTACCTGGAGCCCATCTTTGGATTCTCTGGGGGATCCGTGGTCTCCAAGTTTAAGAACACTTGCCACTCCAATGCAGTCCCTGAGTGGTACAGATGGTTAATGCACTTGGCTGCTAACCAAAAAGTCAGAGGTTCACGTCCACCCCAAGGTGCCTTGGAAGAAAGGCCTGGCAGTCTACTTCCAAAAAATCCACCACTGTAAACCCTACGGAGCATAGTTCTACTCTGACATACATGGGGTCACTGTCAGAATTGACTCGATGGCAGCAGGTTGGGTTTTTTTTTTTTTTTAAATCAGGTGTGACCTCATTAACATAAAATAAACCCTAGGTCCATCCAAACAGGGTCTTATTTACAGGTACTGTTACTCATTACTGTTGAGTCGATTCTGACTCATAGTGATTCTATAGGATAGAATAGAACCGTCCCATAGGGTTTCCAAGGAGCAACTGGTAGATTTGAATGGCTGACCTTTTGGTTAACAGCTGTAGCACTTAACCACTGTGCCACCAGGGTTCCAGGGTTAGGATTTCAACACATATTTTGGGGAGTACACAGTTCAGTCTAAAAGCCCCCCGTCCATCATCTTTGCTCATTGCTTCCTTCTGCAACTTGTCTGATGCCTGAAGGCATTTACATTTATGATTTCTAGACCACAGACCTCTACACTTTAATTTGAACAGATGAGGGTGAATTGAGTCTCCATTCAGTCAGTAATTAATGAGTCCCTGCGCTGGGCTGGGAACTCTGCTAGGCTTTGGGGACACAACGGTGAGCCAGTCAGATGTCTCTGAAGTAGCACAGCCCTCCTTCCAGGCCCCACAGTAACACGTGTGAGCCAGTCACAAGCCCCAGCCCACTGCCGTGGAGTTGACTCCGACTCATGGTGTGTGTTACACAGCAGATCTGCTCCAAGTTTTCTTGGCTGTAATCTTTACGAAAGCAGTTCACCAGGCCTTTCTTCCATGAAGCCACTGGGTAGGTTCAACCTGCCAGCTTTTAAGTTAGGAGCCAATCACATATTGCTTGCAACATCCAGGCTCCTGTGAGTTCCAGAGCCCCCCCTAGTAATGTGAGATCCTGATTGAGTCACCTGTTAGAAACCTCAACTGTACTTTTCAACCCTTTAGAGGCTCTGGAGCCAGATTGCTTGTTTTGTTTTTTCTTTAAATATAATTATTTTTGTTGTTGAGAATATACACAGCAGAACACACACCAATTCAGCAGTTCCTGCATGTATAATTTATTGACATTGATTACATTCTTCGAGTTGTGCAACCATTCTTACCCTCCTTTTCCGAGTTGTCCTTCCCCCATTGACATAAACTCACTGCCCCCTAAGTTTCCGATCTAGTCTTTCGAGTTGCTCGTGTCGTTTCAATCCCATATAGATAAATCTTAAAAGAGCACAATGCTCAAGGCAGACATTCTTTAGTAGGTAAGCTACACTATTGTTTGGTTTTAAGAAGACTTCAGGGGATATTTTTGGTTTACTGTTCAAAATTATATCCAGGCAGTTATTTCACAGGTTTATCTAGGCTCCATCAGATTGCCTGGTTTTAGATCCTGGCTTTTAGCAGTTCCTGGCTCCATCAAGTGATGTAATCTATGCCTCAGTTTCCTCTTCTCTAAAATGAAGACAATAACGAGACCTGCCTCATAGGATTCTGCGAGTTAGAACCAGCCTCCCCAGAGTTGTGCGATGCAGCAGCCCTGCTTAGAAGATGTCTGGCAGTAAATGTCATTGTTACCGTGGGTGTAAAAACAGTGTGGAGGTGGCGTCTGACTTTCGCTCACTTCATGAGGGGGGAAGGAGAATCAAGATCAACAGCCCAAGGCTGATTCCTATAAGGCAGAGGTCAGACATGCCTTCTCTCTCCACCATCTTTACTAATTTGGACACCAACGTTCCCTCCCATGGCACTCTCTATGTCTCTGCTGAGTTTGATAATTTATTGCAGTGGCTACACAACTCACAGACAGTACTCATGATTATGGGGCTTATTAGGGGAGTAACAAGTTACAGTTCAGGCTCAGGAACACTCAGGATACAGCTCTTCCATCAGGACAGCCTCATTTCAGCTGTCCTCACAGGCACACCTCTTTCTGGCCCTAGGCCTCTGCCCTGCTCAGGCAAGTGCTACAGAGCTCCTTTAGCCCCTGCCAATAAGTCCTCAGAGGCACCCCAGTCACTCAGCTTTCTCACTCCTTGGGGCAGGAAACCCACTGTGCAGTCACCTGCTGTTCTCTCCTGCTGGTCTTCGTACCACAGCCTCTAACCATCTTCAGAGTTACAGCTCGCTCGCTCTCTGTGTCTTTCTCTCTCGGTCTCCTGGTTCCAGGAGTTTCTCACCACAGGGATCCTGGGTCCAAATGACACACTCTCTCCTCCTGGCTCTTCGTCTTTGGTGGTGGTAGGATCCTCTGTTTCCTGCCTCTGGGCTGGCTCATTTCAAGCCTAGCAGGATGACAAAACTGACCAGTCCCCTTTGTGGGCCACAGGTACCCTATGTGCACCGTCCCACCCAATCACTGGGGTGGGAGTTACAAACTGTGGCAAGAAAGGCCACACAAAAGCAATCCATTGCACTGCATTGGGAGTTTCTGGGTGACACAGTTAAGTGCTTGGCAACACGAGGTTGGCGGTTTGAATCCACCCAGAGGTGCTTCAGAAGAAAGACCTGGTGATCTACTTCTGAAAGGTCACAGCCTTGAAAACCCTATGGTGCACATTTCTGCTTTGCACACATGGGGCCGCCGTGAGTCAGAATCAACTCGAAGGCAACTGGTTTGGTTATTACTGTTGCACTTTTAGAAACTAATGAAAGATGCAGCCATCTCCTTAGAAAATGATATGTGATTTTGAGGTTCACGGACCCCACCAAAGCTCTTTCAAGGACCCCTGAATAAGAACCAGCAGCTTTAGGGAAGGCCTGCTGGATGAAGGCTGGAGTGGGTGATCAGAGGAGGTTTCTGGTAAGAGGGGCAGGGTGGCCTCCAGGGCTAGGGAGGGAGCTATTAGATGACCTCGTGCTTTGTGCCACAGCCACCCCTGGAGTCGCTGGCCACCGTGGAGGAGACAGTGGTGCGGGACAAGGCAGTGGAGTCCTTGCGGGCCATCTCACACGAGCATTCACCATCGGACCTGGAGGCCCACTTTGTGCCACTGGTGAAGCGGCTGGCGGGTGGCGACTGGTTCACCTCCCGCACCTCGGCCTGTGGCCTCTTCTCCGTCTGCTACCCCCGAGTGTCCAGTGCTGTCAAGGCAGAACTTCGACAGTGAGTTCCCACCTTCAAAGCCCCAATCCTGCCCCCTCAACTTGATCCCCTTTGCAAAAGCCTCAGCCCCCTTTGGGCCAACCCTGGGCTCAAAACCCCCTAAGCTCTCCCAGCGCCCGCTTCTCCCTTACCACTGTGATAGAGGCCGTGCTGCAGAGTGGGCGAGAGCGCGGTCTCAAGACGCCTGGGTGTGCCCTGGCTCTGCCCCTTGCTCATGTAGGGAACGGGGACAGTGGTAGTACCTTCCTCCTGGTGGTGACTGTGAAGATTGAAGACAATAACACAGTGAAGTGTTTAGAGCAGAATCTAACATACAAGCATACTCAGCAAATGATGTCTTATGTTATATTAGGTCTGTCCCAGACCCAGAACCTTCTGCTGATAGAGAATCTTAGCCTGTAGCCTTCTCCCCCACCCCACGTAACTCCCCTCCTTCGGCTTGGTACCCCAAGTTGCATAAATCTCCTCTACGTAAGACTTGCCTTCTGGAAGAATCAGTGAAAATGTTAATTGAATTGGAGTAAAATTTCCCGTTAACATCGTGTTTCTTCCGTCCCACTGGGCTTCCATCCATCCCCCAACCCCACCAACGTTGAGTATTATGCCCAGGCAGTGAGCTAAAGATAAAACAAAAAACCAAACCCGTTGCCATCAAGTCGATTCTAACTCATAGCGACCCTATAGGACAGAGTAGAACTGCCCCATAGGGTTTCCAAGGAGCAGCTGGTGGATTCGAACTGCTGAC